ATAATTCTAAACAACCTGTGGTAAATTATAAAATATGGCCACAAATCTCTGCCATTGTAGTATGCAATGCCCTCTGCAATGCAATGTTGCTGGTCTGCCCAGGACAAGGTAGAATCTTCTTTCCCCACCCCTCGAATGTAGGTTAGCCTTGTGAGCCTTAGTTTGACTAAAAGAATGCATTGTAAGTGACATCATATGATTTGCAAGGTTGCAAGAGATCTTATAAGCGTCCATTTTCACTTTCTTGGAATGCTGTCCTGAGACCTCCACGTCATGCATGATCATATGGAGCAAGGTCTAGATGTCAATCAACACTACTCTGACACCACCCTGGACCTTCCAGCCTGGGAAATCCACCAGGTGAATGCCAATACAGTGAACCCAAGAATAAGCAAACAAGTAGGACTGCCCAAAAGGCATATAGAATTGTAAAAAACAGTAAAAAGTTGTTTTAATCCTCTAGGTTTTGAGGCAGTTATGCAGCTTCCTAACTTATCCTTTTATTTTCCTATTAGTATTATCTTATGCCCCAGTCTCTATAAAAATGTAATTCTAACTGGGTCTGACTTGCAATCTGTCTTAAATATTAAGGGAGGACTGCAGTTACTGAATTGTCAAAAACTCCTAGCACTCTGAGAGGCCAAGGTGGGTGGATCTTTTGAGCTCAGGAGTTCGAAACCAGGCTCTGAGCAAGAGCGAGACCCCATCTCTACTATAAATAGAAAGAAATTAACTGGCCAACTAATATATATAGAAAAAATTAGCCAGGCATGGTGGCACATGCCTATAGTCCCAGCTACTTGGGAGGCTGAGGCAGCAGGATCGCTTGAGCCCAGGAGTCTGAGGTTTCTGTGAGCTAGGCCGACACCACGGCACTCACTCTAGCCTGGGCAACAAAGTGAGACTCTGTCTCAAAAAGAAAAAGGCTGGACTAATCACACAAAATGCCAATCAATGTAGCTTTTCAATAGCCAAAAATTTTCCGGAAATACACAGCTATAATTCCATTATTTACCTGTACTTTGTATACCCTCTTATTTAAAATATCTGATCATGGAGAAAAATTCTTTTTTTCTTAATTGGAAATCCTAGTGTTTTCTTGATCCTAGTGAACATGAAGACACAGAAGCTAAGGGTGGTCAAATGAAGTAAGCACTTTGAAGCAGAGAACTTTTGGGGCCTTAAAAAAAAAATCTCTTGATTTTTAGCTGACAAATATTTAAAACACAAAGATATACTCAAGTCTTGAAAAACAAAAACTAGAAAAAAGTTTAACATTTCCACAAGAAAATGTAACTTTGATGTTAAGTCTACACTATAGCACTTTAAAAGATAAGCTGTTCTTCTTCAATGACTCTTTAATCTGTAAGTGTCAAGTTTTTGACCTTCTTTCAGTAAGTCGAAACCATTTTAGGGTTCTTTCTGGAAAGTGAGAAACACATTACACTAAAGTGAAATGATCATGATGGAAAGATGATAACTAGCTTTTAAGGTTCAAAACTTGCCCTCTTTAAAACTGTCGACAAAAATGGGCGTAGAGCAGTTGGTGATTTTAAAAACCGGATGTTCAGCTTAGCTTGCCTAACCGGTAGAGTCACCGAAATATATTTGAGATCAGGTTAAGCCAGCTTTGACCAGGTAAGTTCGTGTCAGAGTAGAAAAGTCAAAAATTAAGGTGAGTGAAAATTAAACCCCAGACAACTCTCAAATTATAAAGTAATTTTATTCCCTCCCCAACCTCTTTTCAGCTCACCCTATGATTAGCAAATACTGCACTGTAAAGAAACAATTTTTGTAAAATAATGATTAATAGAATTCTGTGTTGGTGAATCCAAGTAATCTTAGTAGGAATTCAAAATTTGATTCCTTTTACATTGTAATCAATCTAATGTGATCAGTTGCTGACTCAGTTATTTAAGAATTAAGAGGTTCATTAGTTAAGTTCAATTTGTTGGTTAAAAACTAATTTTGATGCAAGTCTGTGCATTTCATTCATGCAAGTTCCACTGTTCTTTAGTACTGGCACTTAATTATCCATGGTAACAGAAGAACGTTTCAGCAAAGATAACATAAAAATGATTTTTATTTGCGTTAGGGACATAATAGGTCTCCACTCCACAGCACAGAGCACTAACTTTCTAATGCAGTACAGAATGTCTTTCATGTTAGACTCAAACCACCCATTCAATTCATATTTCAGTTATGGGGAACAAACTGTCAATTCATAAAACCATGATATCACCACTTTGCAGATTCCTTATCAAAGTCCTAGATCCCCTTAGTTCAAGCAATACTTCCTGTAAAATTTCCCCACAAGATTAAGCTGCCCTCCTCTATGCTCCCACAGGTACTACTATATAGTCACACTAAGATAATAATAGTAGTTTGTACATTAGTCTGATGACTAAATTGTGAGTTGTAGAGGGCAGACGCCACGTCAAGCTCATTCCTGTAATGTGAAGCCCTAATCTAGCAGCCATACTACAACAAATTAAAAATTACTGGTCCTGGCATTATCTCACACCTATAATCCCAGCACTTTGGGAGACAGAGGCAGGAGGGCTGCTTGAGGCCAGGAGTTCAAGACCAGCCTGAGTAACACAGCACACCTCATATCTGAAAAAGAAACCTGTTTTTTAAATTAGCCAAGCGTGGTGGCATGAAACTGTAGTCCCAGCTACTCAGGAGGCTGAAGTGGGGGATCACTTGAGTCCAGGAGTTCCATACTGCAGTGAGCTATGATCTATCATGCCACTTCACTTCAGCCTGGGTGAGAGAGCAAGACTGCCTCAAAAAAAAAAAAAAAAACCCAAACCAAAAAACAAAAAGAAAACAATATTTTATGTTGATAGCTTTTACATGATAAAATTTTCCAAACATATTAAAATATAGGCAATTCAAGAACATGCACTAGCAAAAAGGGTTGTATGAGGTGGGTATGGAGCTGATTAAAAATTGGCCACACGAGAGAGTCATGGATGACTCTTATGTCCAAGTCAATTATTTGACATTTTTATGCCTGTATGTAGAGTATAGCGGAGCATCTTGGTGCTTTACCTGGAAAAATAAGCCCTCCTATCAGTGTGGCAGAAAAAAAAATCATTTGTACATAAAAAAGTAGAAATTCTTATGCAATACACCTGACCCAACAGGCAACTGGAAAAAAAAAAATAACCCAAGAATATGCAAACTGACTATGCTTACTTTGTGGTGTAATTTAGAGCAAAAGAAGAGCTGTAAACAGCTTTTATCTATAAAACATATGTAATATAGAACTTACATAAATACATACCATTGTGTGTGTGAAGCAGTCAGGATTCTGTGGAGGACATATTACTGGCAAAGTAAATTCTTAAGGTTTTTCTGACCAGAATGCTTGGATACAAACAACTGGACCTTAGTTATCAACTTCAATTGTTTACATTCATTAAAAATATACACTGAAAGTATTATTTTGAACAAAAGTTTTGGGGAAAAAAGTATGTTGGGGAAAAAGTGTGTTGATTGCTTCACACAGTACCTCATCTAACTTAATCATCACTTAACTCTAGGAATTAACTTCTATGTTCCTGAAGAAAGCTGACGAGGTAAAATAATTATGGCAAAAATCAAGACTCAAACCCAGATCTTCTGACTCCCGCACTACTGCCGTTTCATAAAATGCTGTAGAGCTATTATATGAAATACTGACTCCATTTCTGAAAATTTTTCTACCTCAAGGAGAAATCTAGTTACACTATGTCTTGCCTTAACAGTATGCTGTTTTGATTTTTAAGCCAAAAATTCGTCTTCAACCCCTACCTCTTAGCTTCGGACAGAAAAAAGGAAATAGGCGGAAGGAACGGGAGATTCATAACAATGAATAAGAAAAATGCCTTACAAGGCCTACAAAATCGGAAAAAAATCTTAACTAAATTCAATTTTACTTGGCACGTTTACTCTTAGTAGTACCAAACGACACCAGTAGTGACGAATTTATTACCCAGAGATTTTCCCCATATATATTTACTTTTGTAAACTGGAAAAAGTATTAACTGTAGTATTTTTTGGTGTGTGTGTGTGTGTACACATTCATCTTCACTACGCAGCTTCATCAAAATGAGGGCGTATTCTACTACTGGCGCCTTCCATCTTTTTACTTCTTAAGCCAACAGGTCCTTTTTTATATACATATAACCACCTATTTCAATTTAAAAAACACAGCATTTATCAAAACATAGTAAGAATACCCCCCCAAAGTGTCACGATATTCAAGAACTGGAGCTATCAGTGAGCAAAAGGGCTGCATCTAAGGGGCTGACAAAGTCACTTCCATGCGAGGCTGGGGCGGCCCAGCCCTAACCCTGCCCGCCTTCAACACCGCGCTCTCCAAATACCTCACTCGCGACACCCCCGGCCCAGGGGGCTCCAGAAGATCCTCCAGAACCCAGCCCAAGGGGAGGCCGCGCCAGGCCAAAGCAGGGCCCAAGCCCCTCGCCCACCACTTGTCCATAAAGCGCACAATCTGACCCCGCCACCCGTCATAAACTCCACCACGGGACGGAAGGCCACCAACAGAGGAGGCCTGTGCCCAGTCCCCGCGCCGTACAGGGGTCCCGGACCGAGCTCCTCCACCCCAATCCGGCGAGGAAGCGACCTTCGCGCCCCTAGGCCTACGCTTCGTTTCTTCCCCTCCCCCACCCGCGGCCTTGTCTCGAACCAGCTCCCCGGGAGGTGGAAGCCCAAGCCCCGCGTCTTATTACCCCTGCTCCTGAGCCGGCGCTGAACTGGGCGCGTCCCGCTTGCTGCAACCACGCCACCGCCTTCCTCCTCGGAGTTCTAGGCCTGTGACTGAGGAAAAGAAGTCCGCAGCTAAGCACAATGGCGCCCGCCCCTCTCCCGGATCCGGCGCAGAACCAGCCGCCACCGTTAAGCGCCCCTCCCTTCTCATCCTCCCCCACTTCGCGGACTTCCCGGCATCTCGCGAGAGTGGCGGCGCTGCGGGAATCCGAGAGCTGCGGGCGGGCTCGACGTACCCCACCGCGGGGTGGTGCTCTGACTGCGGCAACCGTTGAAGAGCTGCCCCCGGGGAGTCAGCGAGGCGCCACTGGTAAGCGGCAGCGGCAGACCGGCCCGAGTGCTGGCGGCTGGGCTGGCGAGTGTGCGGGCGCTGGGAGCTGGGCGCCGGAGGCCCGGCCCTGGTCGGCCGTCCTCGCTCGACTGGCGAGGGTCTCTGAGCCAGCCCCTTCGCTCCCCGGTGCCCCGGTCCCCGCCCACAGGTTCTTGCCCCCTTGGGCAAACCTGCAGGGCCCACTGCTAGAAATACCGCCCAGCTTGGTTTTTGTTTTGTTTTGTTTTTTGTTTTGTTTTGTTTTGTTTTTGTGGCGCTTGGTAAGTGGCGCAGTGAATGTTCATTGAATTGAATCAAGCACTGCCTTTTCCGACCTCCCCTCCTCCCGGTTAGTCTCCCTGCCCGCCCTATTAAGCCCTTCCCCTTAAGGGTTGGAGCAGATTTTCCAACCTTGTGGTAATTTCCTGTAGTAATTAAGTCTTGGTGGTGGGTTACTTTTACCATCCTGTCTTCCAAAATCGTGACATGAACCTTTGATAACGTAACTATAGATTTCGCAGTAAAAAAAAATCCACCTATTTAGAAAGCGAGGAAAATTGTGAGGTAAATGGTCTTATGAATATTAGGCAAAACTTTCAAAGAACTGTAAATGTGGTAAACTAAGATGTAAATAACTACTAATGAATAACAGTTAGTACGTTAGAGAAAAACGCCACAATTTACCCACAGATTTAGATGATACGTGGATTTTGAATAATGTATCAAACAGAAGTTTTTCTTTAACGGTAAACATCAGTTATTGAAACTTGGAAGCATGCTGAAGGCACTTGATTTTTTTAAATGACCTATTTTGTTATTAAAAGCAATCCATTGGATCCAGATAATTCCAATAACTAAAATATGGTGTTTACATGTAATTGCCATTTCATCAGAAGGGAATGGAGTATCAATCACTATCATCTTTATTTTATTGTATCTTGGAGACTAACAGACTGTCCATGATTCACTATGATAAATTGTAAAATACTGTAAGTTTTAAAGATTTAAAGTTTGATTATTAAAGCTAGCACATAAATACCAATCTAACTTTTAGGATATTTATTGAAGATTAAGCATCTGATATGGGATGAAGTGAGCAGGGATTACCTTTGAGGAATTAATTTGCCCTTTAAAGAAAAATAATCTTTTTCCAGCCTGTTTGAGTGCTATGTAGCATTTTGATTATATACATATGTATATGCACACTGAAGAACCGGACTGTATCTGTATGGGTTCAAATCCCAGCCCTGCCTCTTACCACCTTTGTTATCTTGAGTAGTTCCTTAACCTACTTAAGCCTAGGTTTCCTGTAAAATGGGGTTAGTAACAATACCTGTACCCCATAAGGTTATTGGAAGGATTAAAGAAGATAATGCATCAATTCCTAGAACATAGTAAGCATTCTGTAATTGTTAGCTATTACATTCCATGTCTGAACCACCACTAATATTATTTCTTTCTGGGGCTTAATATTACATAGGTCCCTTAAACATCTTCTCAAGTTTATTCTACATTAAGAGGAATGACTGCACCATTTTCCTGAGCTATGGTAGTCAGACCTGGTAGTGGTAACTTCTCTACAGAATCCCCAAATCTGGCAAGGATGGTACAGATTTTGGCAGATTATGGCTTCATTCCCGCCCAGCACTGATGGTATTATCAGAGGTGAGTATGGCACCAATTTCCTATGCTAAACAGAGCTTGCAGATTCTAGTTTTTTATTGACGATACTAAATAGGTAAAAACCACTGATAAGTATGTTTTTGTTTTTAAGATCGGCTGGTTGTGTTTTTATTTAATGTAGTCTCTCTGATTTCAGTCTCCAGGTAATTATCTTTATCAAAAAAAATTAATGAGATTTTGCTGTTAAAGACATTTGCTAGGAATTGCTAGGAATTCACTAGGATGCAAGTAGGTATAATAGTGACCATATTTTCTGAACTAAAAATCAGGACAAAATGATTTGACAGACATATTTGAAATCAGAATTGTTCCAAACAATCTAAATTCCATGGTTGCCTTTTATCCACAGAATGTCCCCATTTGACCTTCCTTTGTTAAACTTTATATCCTCTATGGACTGACTCTGACATACCTTTCAGTATCTAAATATGTTCACCACTTGCCCACACCACTCACCTGAATTTTCAGTTTTGAACTTGCTTCTTCTCTAAGTTAGGGTCTTATTGACTATTATTAATTTTCCTCCTTCTGCTTTATAAATCTGTCATTTAGCTATGCTCATATAGCCCTTAACTCTTATGTATTTCTTTATCCACCTGATGGCTTAGAATTCTCTTTCATATACTGAATTTCAAAGTTTCTGTTTTCTATTCTTTTTATCATCCTCAACCTAACCTTCTAAGAAGCCTCTCTATGGCAAGGGCAATTGTATAGATATTCTTTATTTTGCATAAATGGTGTGGCATTGAAAAGATATGGTAATATCTAATATTTGCTTTTTGCAAATCATGTAGTTTTCTTATTGATACATAATATTTGTATATATTTATGGGGTACCTCTGATATTTTGTTGCATTCATAGAATATAATAATCAAGTCAGGGCATTTAAAATATTTCTCACCCAGAGAGTTTATAATTTTTATGTTCAGGAATATTATAAGTCCTCTTTTCTAGCTATTTTGCAATATACAATACATTGTTATATCTACCATTTCTACTATCAAACATTAGAACTTACTCCTTCTATCTAACTGTATATTTATACCTATTAACCAACCTCTCTTCATTCCCCCCTACCCATTTCCCAGCCTCTGTTAACTATCATTCTACTCTTTACCTCCATGAGATAAACATTTTAGCTACCACATATGTGTAAGAACATGTGCCATTTTGTCTTTCTATGTCTGGCTTATTTCACTTAATGTACTCCAGTTCTATCCATGTTGCTGCAAATGACAGAATTTCGTTCTTTTTTATGCTGAATAATATTTCATTGTGTATATACAGCACATTTCTTTTATCCATCTACTGATGGAGACCTAAGTTGATCCCATATCTTTGCTATTGTGAATAGTGCTACAATAAACATGAAGCTGCAGATATCCCTTTGATATACTGATTTCCTTTCCTTTGGATAAATACCCACTAGTGGGATTGCTTGATCAGTTCTATTTTTAGTTTTTTAAGAAACCTCCATACTGTTTTCCTTAATGGCTGTGATTAATTTACATTCCCACCAACAGTGTATAAAGAGTTCCTTTACTCTGCATCCTCACCAGCATCTGTTATTTTTTTTCCTTTTTAATAATAGCTATTCTAACTGGGGTAAGATGCTATCTCATTATGGTTTTGATTTGCATTTCCCTAATGATTAGTGATATTGAGCATTTTTGCATACATCTTTTAACCATTTGTACATTTATGTCTTCTTTTGAGAAATGTCTAAAATGTCTATTCAAGTCCTTTGCCTTTGCCCACTTTTTTTTTTTTTAGATAGTCTTGTTCTGTTTCCCAGGCTAGAGTGTAGTGGCATCATCTTAGCACACTGCATCCTCAAACTCCTGGGCTCCAACAACCCTCCTGTCTCAGCCTCCCAAGTAGCTGGGACTATAGGCACATACCACAATGCCCAGCTAATTTTTCTATTTTTTGTAGAGACAGAGTCTTGCTCTTGCCCAGGCTGGTCTCAAACTCCTGGTCTCAGGTGATCCTTCCATCTTGGCCTCCCAGAGTGCCAGGGTTACGAGCATGAGCCACCCTGCCTGGCCTTTATTTTTTTTTCCATGAAGATATAGAGTCTTGCTCTGTCACCCAGGCTGGAACGTAGAGGCACAATATAGCTAACTGCAGCCTCCAACTCCTGGACTCAAGCAATCCTCCCGCTTCAAGTGTCCTGAGGAGCTAGAACTACAGTCATGGGCCACCGTGCCTGACTTCCTTTGCCCATTTTTTAATGGGATTATTTGAGTTTTTTGCTGTTGAGATGTTTGAATTTTTTGTATATTCTAGATATTAGTCCCTTGTTAGATGAATAGTTAGCAAGTATTTTCTCCCATTCAACAGATTGAATCTTCACTTTCTTGTTTCCTTTGCCATGAAGAAGCCTTTTAATTTAATATAGTCCCATTTGTGTATTTTTGTTTTTGTTGTCTGTGCTTTTGAAGTCTTAGCCATAAAATTTTTGCCTACCAGGATAGGGAACCCTATCCCTAGACCTGGTCTATTTCTCCTATGTTTTCTACTAGCAGTTTTATAGTTTTAGGTCTTGCATTTAAGTTTTTAATCCATTTAGAGTTGATTTTGAATCTTTCTTATTTATTAATACTGTCTATATTTCTGTCACCTACCTATTCAAGTATAAGGAATACTTGTATAAGGAAACTCTTGTTTTCTTCAGAATCAGCCAATACTCTTAATTTGTTTGCGTTATACAGTACATGTTATGCTACTAGCCTGCCTAGGAATGATCTTAACTTTCTTTTTCCACTATTCTTGTTTCTCTTTCTCAGCAGTTTTCTAAAGCCATTGAATACGTATATTTCAGTTATTTTAAAACCTTATCAGTACTTCGATATATCATAATTTTTTAAAAATTATGCACGTGTCCTACTTAATTAGTTTCTGAAATTACTCTGTTCCCTATCCGAGTCCAATCTAAGTTTCTTACCATGGAGCTTTAATCAAGCGTGCCATTTGTACCATGGAAGAAATCTTGCACTTTTTTTTCCTATTACATCATCATAAATGGTATGGTAATGGTGACATACTTAAAATATTTAGAGTATATTTAATGCCTTTAGTATAGCATAAAAGTATGTTGGGGGTGGTTGTCAATTTGCTGAGAGTTGAATATTGTTCTTTTCAAAAAAGCCAAGAACTTGGCACTTTTCAAAATTATATTTTAACCTAGTTTTTGGAAGACATTAACTTGGTACTTGTTTCATTTGTTTGCATAGAATTAATTTTGTCTAAATTTATAGAAAGGCTTTTTTGAGGGATAGTGATTTATTGTTTTCGAGTCCATTTATTAAGGACTTTTTAAAACTTATTTTTAGTCAGATAGTTACACTTGAATTGAAAGTTTTGAACATGTGTTTGCATATTAGGATCCTACAATATAAATAGAAATATAAAAATAATTTTACTGAATATTTTATTTTCTCATATGCTGAGAGTTTTATGAATATACTGATATGACTGTTTTGGGTAAGGCTTTACTTTCTCAGATTAATAACCAAATATTTTTCTGGTACACCAATTTTATTATTACTGATAATATAAATTGCTAGAGTAGTTCTAAAATCAAATTATTTTTGTGAAGTTGTATATCAGGATTTTGAATGGCTTTATAATTTTTAAGCATAAGTCATTAATTAAATTGTAGCATTAAAAATTAATTGAGCATATGAAAATTTGTCTCAAAAAAATTTGGGTAAAGAATTTTTTTGTTGGTTGTTTCCCCTTTTTTTGCCCCTGAAGAGATGAAGCCTCACTTTGTCATCCAGGCTGGAGTGCAGTAGCACAGTCATTCATACCTCACTGCAGCCTCAAACTCCTGGGTTCAAGTAGTCCTCTTGCCTCAGGCTCCATGCCTGCCTACTTTTTTGTTTTTTTCACTTTTTATAGAGACTGGATCTCACTATATTGCCTAGGCTGGTATCGAACTCCTGGGTACAGTGATCCTCCTGCCTCATTCTCCCAAGTCGCTGGGATTAGAGGCATGAGCCACCATGCCCAGTTTGGGTTTTTTAAGTTGAATGTTAATATTTCTTCTTGGTAATGTCCAAAAATAAAAACTAGTATTTATTCTTGTTTACACTCGCAAGAAAGCTACATAGACACATTTAGCATTTATTCTCCTTAGTAAACGAAAAATATATAAAACTAAAAATACTATAACCATTTGCTTTTTAATCAAAGTGAGAGAAGAGCAACTCTCAGACATTGAATAGTAGCTTTTATGCCTTATTTAGAAGACTTTTACTTTCTTGCTAGCAGAACCAAACATGGAATTTAGACTTTGTCAGGGCAAAATTGGCACAGATTATCATTGAAGTATTCTTATTTTATGCAGGAGAAGAATAGTGGAAAAAATGTACAAAAATTATTAATGTAAGGTAGGTATAGAAAAGATACTTTAAAAATAAAATATAAAGTAGAATTTTTAAAATACCTGATATAACCATTAAAAAACACATTGTGAATTTTTTAAGTAGCAGTAACAGAAAAGGGACCAGATATTCCTATTAAAAATCAAGAAATATGTTGGAATAACCTTAATTATTACTTATACAAATTAATGAGAAGAGAAAAAATTAAAAAATGAACAGATTCTGTTTGTGTCTATAATTGAATGTATTCTGTTTTAAAATTTGCACTGGAAATTGTATATATAAATTTCGTTTCAACAATAAATAATGTCTTTTAGTGTGGTTGCTGGTGATTCCAATACTAATCACAATACTAATCACATGTAGGTTTTATTTATAGAATACTTTAAAATATTCTTTTTGATTCATTGGTTAGAAATAAATTTTATTCTGTAGTTTTATTGGAGACCAAGCGTTGCTCTATTTAGCACATCAAAATGTAGTAATATTTTTCTTTAATCAAAAAATGTGTTTGCCAGTTAAATTTTCACTAACAGGCATGATTAGATCATATATTTAACCATCAAATCTATATAACAACTAAAAATTTA